AACTACAGAAATAGGAGAGATTTTAAAATATTGAGACCTCCATGAATAACTCAAACCAAAATATATGAATACCTGAAGGTAGGGGAGAGAAAGGTCAGGTATTTATATTTTTTGGTATAAAATTATTCATGAAAGTCTTTAAAATTAAAAAAAATCTCTTCTGTTTCTATAGGTATTTCCTCTTTTTAGAGAAAAACAAAGTATGTCTCTGTAAACTTTAGAAAAAATTTTAAAAATAAAAACTGCCAAAATAATTGATAAGTTGGACTATATTAATATATTAATTGAAATTAATATAATCAATATTCTGTTCATCACAACACATCAATAAAAGAGTAAAAAGTCAACTCAAAGTTGAAGATATATTCACAATACGTGTATCTGACAAAGCACTTGTACATAGAATATATGTGCAGAACACCTACAAATTAATAAGATTGAAAGACAATCCAACAGAACCCAATAGAAAAAAACGAAAAACTTGAAAAGACTTTACAAAAGAGGATATCCAACATGGCCAATAAACATATTAAAAGGTGCTCAATTCATTAGTCATCAGGGAAATGCAAATTAAAACCACAATGACATACTACAACACACCCACCAGAATGGCTAAAATTAAAATGATGGAAAACGCCAAGGTTTGGTGAGGATGTGGAGCAACCACAACTCTCATATATTGCTGATAGAAGTGTAAATTGGCACAACTACTTTGGAAATTGTTTTGTGTACATATTAAAACATATCCCTTGACCCAGCAATTCTACTCCTAGCAGTTCAATTCCCACCAGAAATGTGTGCATATTTCACTAGAAAACATGTTCAGAATGTTCAGAATGTTCAGTACTATTCATAATAGTCAAAAATAGGAAATTATCCAAATGCCCATTAAGACTAGATGAATAGTGAGAATAGTCTACAACAACATGCAAAAATGTGGATAAATATTGCAACATAATGTGGAGTGAAAAAATAGTTCATACTCTATGATTCTGCATCTATAAAATAAAAAACAAAAGAAACTATGCTAATAGAAGTCAGGTAGAAATATTTTTGTTGAGTAAAACAGTGACTACAAAGTAAGACTGGGTTTTCTGAGGGTCTGGCAGTATTTTGTTCCTTGGTCTGGGTGCTGATTTCACATGTTTATTCCACAGGGCTGGGGCAAGGGTGAAGCAAACAAGATACCTAGGGAGCAAAATTTAAGGAGACACTCACTCTCACCTTATTTGCCTCACCCTCACCTCAGCCCTGGCTTTCAGTTTGTGAATATTTATTGAGCTGTATCATCATGATATGTGTATTTTTCTGTATATATTTTATACTGAGATTAAAAAATATTAAAGGAGTCTGGACTATATTATAGCACAAATAAAAATAAACTCTAAGTGGGATAAAAACTTAAATGTAGAAAGAAAAACCTTAAAACTTTTAGAATATAGGAGAATATTATAAATGACCTCAGGTAAAGAAAGATTTCTTAAGACTATCCAAAAGCACATATTAGAGGAAAAGATTTGACTACATCAAAATTAAGAACTCTTTAGCAAAAGACAGCTTAAAGAAAATAAAAAGACAAGCCACAATCCTGAAAAAAGAATACTGCAACACAAATGAGTAAAAAAGAATTATGTGGAATACATTTTTTAAATCAAAGAAGAAAAAGATAAATAACCCAATAGAAAAATGCATGAAAGGCTTGAATAGTTACTTTATATATAAGAAAACCAGAATGGCTAAAATACATGCAAAGATGCTCAAACTCAGTAATAATCAGGGAAATGCAAATCAAAATCATGTGATATGACCATTTCATGTCCAGTTGATAGGCAGAAAAATAAACTCTAATAATATTGTGTTGACAAGAGTATAGGGCATTCTCCTTCACTGTTAGTGGAGTATAAATTGGTACAACTACTTTGGAAAACAGTTTTGCTTTACCTAATAAAGTTGAAAAGCCCCCGGACTCTTTGGTATATTCCCTAGCGATACTCCTGCATATGTATACCAGGAGGTGTGGACATGAATGTTTATAACAATTAAAAAGAAAGAATATTAAGAATAGATACAATAGTCTACAGTAGTGAAAATAAATGAACAACCACACAATGGATATATCTCATTTTTGAAGTTCGAGCAAAAGAAGTAAATCATAGAAGAATACCTTGAGTATCATTACATTCCTATAAAATTTTTAAACAAGCAGATATACTCATAGATGGTAAAACTATACAGAAGACTAAGGAAAGGGTTATCATAGAATTTAGGAGAGTGGTTACCTTTGTAGGAGAAGGAGAGGGTACAATGAAGACGGGTCACATTGTGGCTTCTAAGGTAGCGACAAAGTTTTACTTCTCAGCTTGAATGAAGGGTATATGGATACTCATTATTCTTTAAACTATACACATACTATTTTGTATACTCTGCTGTGCATGGTATACTTCAAAATAAAATATTTTTGAAGGCATTAAAGTGCTCTACATGTTTATGTGTGTATAAATGTGTGTGTGCGTGCACACGTGTGTGTATGTGTATTTTATGAAGAAACAACAGAATTCTTAGTGGGAAAATGTCAATAAGCACTTCACTAGACTTATTATTCTCTCATGATTGGCTAGCTGAGAGAGGAACTTGAATTGACTGAGTTTTTCACAAGTCCTGATATTTGTATACAGTTGACCCTTGAACAACACCAGGGTTAGGGGCACTGACCCCTGTACCATCAAAAATCCAAGTATAACTTTTGACTCCCCAAAAATTTAAGTTGTCCCTCTTTATCACAGGGGATTGGTTCCAAGAACCCCCACAGATACCAAAATCAATTGATGCTTAAATCCTCTATGTAAAATGGCATAGATCAACATGTACAGTCAGCCCTCTGCATCCATAGACTCCCAAACACAGACTGAAAACAGTACAGGTATTTATTGAAAAAAATCTGCATGTAAGTAGACTCAGACAGTTCAAACCTGTGTCAGAGTCAAGTGTATATAGTTCCTACTAAATTTAGTAGGAATGGTGTTATCACATATCTTATTTAATCTATCCATTGAATTATTCATTCTTTTATCCGGCTTTCAGTTGGTAAAAAGAAATTCTTAATTTTAAAAGATAAAAATCCAATTAACATATGCTCATTCTTTGCTTAACCTTTATTTTTTAAACCAATCTATGTTAGCTATATCTTCCTTGAGTAGAATCAAAAGAAATTTGCATCAAAATCTAAAGCTATTATCATGTGTGACATTAGGAAAATACTTACTAAAACTGAAAAAAAAAATCCTGTTGTTCGGTTATTTTTATTAACTGAATTAAGACTCTTTTCTATGTATTAAACATAATATAGAATTAAAGAACTAAAAGGAACCTTCAAAGGTTACCTACTGTATAGTCATCTATCTTTAAGTAGGACTCAAACTATCTCAAGCAAATAAATTAGCATCCTAATCTTTAAAAAGCCCCCAAAAAGATTTTATAGCATTCTTTCCCACTAGGCATCTGGAAATTCTTCATGTCTAACTCAGAACCCTTTTTTTTAATTATTATTATTTATGCCTACAGCACCTGGTTTTCCTAGGTGATCTCCCATCCAAGTACTAACCAGGCCCGACCCTGCTTAGCTTCCGAGATCAGACATTGGGCTTGTTCAGGGTAGCATGGCCATAGACCATGGACCATGGCTCCACTAGGGTGTGAACCCAGGACCTTCTGCGTGTAGAGCAGATGTGCTAACCACTACACTATGGAACCACGTCTTCAGAACCCTTTTAATACAATGTTGGCATTCAGTAAACTTTCTTACCCAGACAACAGAGTGTGGATTTACCTAGGGCACAGTGAGTACTCAACGCCAAGCCTCTCCTTGAGGAAGTAGAAAGGTAAAGGGCTCAGAGCTTGTTTGGTTCCAGTGGCTTCAACCCCAGCCTCTTGGCTTTCTCCAGAGACCTAGCCTCAAAGCTTGTCTCTCTCCACATAACCAAAAGCTGACTATCATTTTGTTTTCACTATAACTTGAGTTTATCCATAACTTTTTTCTCCCTCAACTCCCTCCCACCCAATTACCCTAGTAATCAAGAACTTATTTATACTTATAGTGAATATGAGTAAATGAACACCTAGAATATTTTTAAGTCCTAAAAATAAGTGAAGAAAGAGTAAAAATAAGGAACATATAAAATGGAGTCACTTTAACCAAGCTGCTAAAATTATTAACATTACGAAAGTTGCGGCATGAGGAAAGACTCCATTCTTGTTCTAACTACTCTGGAAACTTAAACTTTTTTGAACTTTCCAGTCCTGTGCAAATGCCTGGATATACATATAGACCTTCAGATAACCCTCTAATTACCCCTGAAGGACTCATGTATACATCCACCTGACATCCATTATCCAGATCACTAGGACGTGACCAGATCTCCTCACACCCATCTTCCAGACCACCTGGCATCCAACATCTTGACTGCTTGTCATTTGGCTGATAACCATCCTGGACCAATACTAAGGCTAAGAATGCAGGACTGACGATTCTTAAGAATGTACTTTTGCCGTAACAACTTTTAACTTTTCTTTCTCTTTGGAACACTTCCAGGTTTTTGCCTAGTTGTGTTTCCAGTTCGTAAACTCTAAGACCCTTAAATAAATCTCCATCATTTATTTCTAGCAAAGCCTCCACACTCTTTTTGAGTACATTTGTTACTTATAAATGAAAGAAAGAAAATCCCAAATTTTCTAAATTCATGGGTACTTTTCACAAAAGAAGTATATTGGAAAGTTTTTTTCTTCTAGTCATGGACAATTTCCTCTAATAAAATATATTTCCTTCTTGAAATAGTACTTTTTTAGAATAAAGACTCCTTGAGGTTAGGGGTTAGTTTTGTTTCTGTTTTTATACCTGGCACACTCCACTAGACTCTGTTATTATGATATGGTCTGTGTAGGAACTGAAAAATGTCAACTATTTTTAACCAAAGAAGTAGAGCATCACTAGAGCTTTGCCTTACGTGGTTGTTGCATTCTTCTTCTTCCTCATCGCAGTCTAGACCCTGATGGGCAATCTCAGTAGTGTTGTTCTCCTGAAAGAGACTGTTCTCCAAATCAGACACTCTGGTGGCTTCGGTTGTAACTTTTACTTTCATGCTATGAAAGCCAGTTGAGACTATTCCCACTTGAAGGTTTACAGGCTCCCCCTCAAAGAGCAGGAAGTGTGAATTTACCCCTTCTTTAAAACCAGGGGGCTGGTAATCATGTGGGGTCACTGTAAAATGAAAAGAGAAGAAAACTGAGTTTCAACAAAACAAGTCAGATTAATCTTCCATATATAGCAACAGACATCTCTTTCAGATACTTGCAAAATCCTTCTATTTATATAAAATATTATTTCAATACTTAAGAAGGAATTTGACTGGAGTCTCCACCTACCTGCATTATAGTAGTGGAGCTTCATAGTAAGTATAACATCATTAGGAAGGGGTCCAAGGTTCTGCGTTAATATATACAATTTACGAATCAGTAGAACACTAGCTTTCTTAATATCTTCACTATTTGTTCCACTTTCGAAGCTTGTATTACTGCTATAACCACATTAAAAAAAACAGCATATTTTTCAATCATATACAATATTAAACTTTTTACTATACGATTAAATAGGACACTAGAGACTATTTTTAGAATGTAAATTAGAGGAGAGATTGTACTTTTTGCAATGTTTATACAAAGGATTTCTTACATAGCAAGTTCCTTTAAGGTATTTTAAATATAACCTGATTTTTTAAAATTAGATTTACAACCACATGCTATAGTTTTTAGAGCAATGGATTTGGAATTAGGAAACTTGACATCTAATACTGGCTCTGCTGCTAAGTAGCTGAATGACCTCAGTCAAGTCACTTAGACACTCTAGGTCAGGAGCTCATTTGTGAGATGAGTTCACATACACCCTTCTACCCTTCTTCCAGTATAAAATCAATCATTAGCCCTAGCCCTTTCTACCATATGGTTATTCCTCAGAGAAATCCCCTCCTCATTCTTACATGGCTTATGATAATGACTATTCTTCCTGCTTTTCTTTTTGTTCACACTGCAAAACATTATCCACATCACTGCCGAAATAATATTCCTAATAGGGAAATCTGCTCATGTCACTCTCTTGCTTAAAATTCTTCTATTACATTCATCACCTTTCAACGAAAATCAAGAGTTGTGTGTATAATGCCTTTCAGGACCAGCTGTGCCCTCATCTCCACCTTCATCTGCAACTACTACCGGTTCCTTTTCATCCATGTGTATTTGCATATGCTGTTCACGTTGCTTATTTTTTGCTTTTCCCAATTCTCTTCATGACTCTCCTGAATTCATCCTTTAATCATGCTCTTGTGTCACCTCTTCAAGGAAGTATTCCCTGTTAATCCCCATACCTCATCCCTGTTTATAACTGTTTGTATGTCCCCCTCTAGACTATAAATGGCTATATCTTTCATCTCCACAATACTAAGTTTGGTGCCCAGCTACAATAAGTACATAATAAACTTTTGCTGAATTAATAAGTGAATGAACAAATTAGACTAAATTACCTTTCAACGCTAAATATTCTTTCTTTCTCTCTAAAATTTTCTTCCCCACTTAGTCTCACATTTGAGTAGTTTCCAGAAAAGACTATGACTGCAATATATCTGCACAATGTCTTTCACATAATAAGCACTTAATACTGAAAAATAATCCTAAGTAATTGAACTACTACTGGAGGCAGTGTGAATTCATAAAACAAATATTAAGTAAATACATTTGCTCTTGTTTCACTTTTGAACAACTTAGAAGTTTTGTCTACCAGGATTTACCAATTTGAAATAGGTAACCAGAGTGAAGGGCTATAGCTATCTAGTTCATGAGATCTTACAATATACATCATATTCTTGTAAAATCATATTCAAGACTCCCTTTTAAAAGAGAAATTATCTTTACTATGGAAGAGATGATAAGATAATTTTATAAGAATGATCATTTAAACAAGTGCCTACCTTTGGTTTCTAGGAAATTAGTAATATGCATTACCCTCTCTCTTCCTTAGTAGCTGAAAAATTTGGCCTTTTTGTTTCATTGCTTACCTCTTGGCATATGTGCTTTTATAACTAAAGAGAGTAGTCTGGTTGTCAGTAGTACTTACATTTAAATGTTAGAGAGCAAAAGGCAAATGTTTTATGTAAGAGAATATATATAAAAAGTGCTGTACAATCTGTAAAGTGCTATGCAAATGTTAGCTAATGATGGTGAATATTCTAATTCTCATTCCTAGAACTGACTTTCTCTTCACATCCTAGTACTGTCTGTAAGTTTTACAAATGAGAAGATAATTAAGGAAGTGAATCTTGGAGAGAAATCCTCAAACTTGCAGTAAATGAAACAGGGCTAAGAGTATAGAGAATTGAGAATTAGGCCACATTTCTCTTTAGCCATTTCTTTCTGGGAAACTCATCCTCCTGATGTGGAGCCCTCTGCTACCAAAAGCTTTTCACCATCATCTGCTCCACCTTCTCCTATTCAATCTCATCAGCAATTTTTAGCTCTATCTGAATCCAAAAGCTACTGGGAAGAAAATAAATGTTGCTCCTCAATAAAACATCTCCATTTGCACTAAGGACCTTCTGAAGCAAATGTCCTTGTCTTTGCTATTTAATCCATTAGTATATCTAAAGTTTGGAATTTTAGACTTGATAGGAAAATGCAGTGCTTTCCAGTCTTTTCCATATAGGGACACATATAGATAATTATATTTGTACAACATATTTGGGTAAGCATATGAGAATGTTTGTGTCTATAAGCAGATAGTTCAGGGGTTTCATCTACCCCAGGTCCAGTCTGGCTATATTGAGGGCAGAAAGGATCAATATCTTGGCATAGCAATTGAGAAATGTTGTTTTAGTGGATAGAAAGAGCCTATGGAGTTCTTCAATCAACACTACGTAGACAGCCTCATTAATGCCTACTCCTGTGCCGCCCACAAAGTACCACTGCCACCACCACTTAGGTACCATTAACTGAGTGTTTATTATGTGCCAAGCATGGGCAAAGCTTTATATATGCATTAAAACTTAATAATCACAGCAACCACATGAAGTAGATATTATTAACTTCACTGTGCAGACGAGAAAACCAATATTTAGGGAGATTGAGTTATCTGTCCAACATTATATAACTATTCATAGTCAGAGCTGGGGCTCCAAGCTAGGTCTTTCTGCCTTAGGAAATGAAACTCATAACCACTGAACTTAACTGCCTTTAGATCCTACTAACATCACCTATGAGGAAAAGATGTAAAGAGGCAAAGGAAGCCTCTATTCCTACCAGTAATCTATGGATTTCAGAAATGTAAATAATTATTACAATCCCTTTTTATAACAATGGATTTTCTGTGGGATTGTTGGGGAATTTACAAAGGAAGTATAAGCTCTATCTCTGGCCTCAAGAGGCTTATGTTTACCTCAATCCTATATATTTCACATGTTCATCAAACAATTAGATTCTACCTGTCAAAATCCATAGTGGCTCCTTCTTTTGTGTATTTGAATTTGAACTGGTATATCTCAGTCACTTTCTAGAAACATCAAAGGGAATAGAGAAAGAAATCAATAAGGAACATTTTCATTATGTACCTACTATATTTCCTTACCTGTTTATTTCACAGCATTACATTATTCAGGAGTAATATTTGCAGATATAAAGATAACAATTTTTCTCCCCTGTGGTAAAAATGACTTCGATGGCAAACGCTATTGTTACAATTTTAAAGCTGGAAAAACTAAGGTACAGAGTCAAGTATCTGACCCAGCATAGGTAAATAACAGTGGAACTGGTTGAGAAACCATTCATTCATATAACAGATATTTACTAAACTTTGTGTCAGGCACTAAAGTCATGTTGTGAAAATGACAAAAAAGGTCCCTGTTTTTCTGGACTATATAGCCTGGAGAGAGAGATAGTCAGTAAATAGGTAAACAAATAAAATAAGATAATTTCAGATCGTAATAAGTACTGTGAACAATATGAAGCAGATGCTGTGACGGAGGGTACAGAAGGGGAGAGGTGCTGATTTGGTTTGGAAAGGCCAAGGAAGGCCTCTCTAAAGAGGTCATGTTTGAGCTGAGCCTCACTGATAAGAGGGGTCAGTCATGTGCAAATCTGGAGGACAGTGGGGTGCCCCAGGCAGGAGAAACAGCAATGCAAAGGCACTAAAGGAGGGGAAAAAATGCCTCTTTCTGGATCAAAGAGGAGGTCAAGTGGCTGGCAATAAGTAAGCAAGGGTGAGAGTGTAGGAGATGAGATTGTAGAGGAGGTTTTGGGGCCTCGCTGGCCATGGTAAGGGGTTTAGTATTTATTCTACATTGAAGGATTTTAAGCATGGGAGTGATTTGTATTTTTAAAGATCACCCTGGCTATTTTAAGAATGCAGAAGGGAAGAAGTGGAAACCATGAGAGCAATTAAGAGGCTACTGTAGTAATTCAGGGAAAACTAGAATGGCAACAGGAAAACTGGAAAAATTAGAAAAGGAACCAGAATCAATGATTTCAGGTCTTGTTTTTTTTGATCCTGCACTAAAAACTAGATACTACTGCTATCTGCTCTCCTCACTGTTAAGAAAGCTAGAAATAAAGGACAAATTTCCTCTTGAGAGATAAGCTCAAAATGATTGTCTACTAGTTGAAGCAAACATTTGGCCCAGATACATTGTTGTTTGTCCACAGAGCTGGAGAAGGTGTTAAAAACAGGCAAAGGGTATGTGAGTTTAAGTCAGAACACAAAAAATACCTTTCATTCCTCTGTTTCAGTATTTGTTCCTTGACAATGTGGAAATGAAGATGTTAGATTAATAGAAAAGGTCTCAATGTTCTTCTTACTTTTCTCTATTCTAAGATTTGGTATTCCATTAATCACAAGTGGTCAGGTCCTAGAGAAATAAGCTCATGCTGCTTCAGCTCGAAGAACTGATTTGTAATGAAGTTAATTTTAAAAGAGAAAAATATTTTTCTAGTAAGACACTCTACTTAAGAAATCAAACCAAGTACTTTGTGAATACAATTAGCTCTCTGTATCTGCAAGTCCCACATTTGTGGATTCAACGAACCACAGATCAAAAATATTTGAGAAAAAAAATGTTATGTAGTTGCTGATGTGTACTATGTAGTTAGGCCTATGATGGTTGCATCTGTACAGAACATGTACAAATTTGTCATTATTCCCTAAACAATACAGTATAACAACTATTTACAGAGCACTTACAGTATATTTAGTAATTATAGTAATAAGTAATCTAGAGGTGATTAAAAGTATAGTAGAAAGATGTGCGTAGGTTATATGCATATACAAATCCACTTGACATAAGGAACTTGAGCATCCACAGATTTTTTTATCTGCAGAGGTCCTGGAACCAATCCCCAAGGATACCAAGGGACAACCGTACAATAGGAGAGGTATGTGAGACTAGAGGTGCCTATATCAACAGGTTCACTGCAGAAAAAAAGGTTAATTATACAGCATCCTCTCCACTGATGCTGGGTGTAATTGCACTGTCAAACAAACAATGCTTATTCTCCCGGCCTGCCCATGTTTCTCAACCAACTCTAGCTTTTGATGCCCTGAGCTTTCTTTTGTTTTTTAAATTGTATCAAGAGTAGATCTTTTTAGTAATTGACAATTTTACTAACAGTTTATTATTTGGTCCCTGAAGCAAAGAATAAAAGAATTATGTTCGTAATTGTTTTACAGAAGATGCTAATCCTTAATAACTTTAATCTGACTCTGATTGATCAAGGAAGTATATATTTATGGCAAGCACTAGTCTCTTCTTAACACTTCATATAATGTCCTCCTCCTTTTTAGATTGATGTGTTGCTCAATAAAGACAACCCTTTAAATAGCTCATCAATGGTTTTTATTAATCACACTGAATATATCCATATCAACCAAGGCAACAGAAACATATACAGGCTCTCCTTCTTCCTCTACATTCCAATTCATTGGCAAAAATAGATTTTTTTCAAGTCTGTCTCCAAAGCATATTCCAAGTCCATCTGATTCTCTTCATCTTCACTACTATTGCCCTATCCAAGCCACCACCATCTCTCTTCATTTTATCCACTTGCTTCCAAATCACTCCTCCTATAATTCATTCTCTATTCTATGGTCAAAAAGAGTTTTTGAAAATAAAAATCAGACCATGTTACTCTTATTCCCAATGGTTTCCCACTGTCTTTAGAATAAAACCAAAATTTACCTTGATCCATAAGGCCTTACCAATCTATTCTCTGCCTTTGTTGCTGACCTTATCTCCTGCCTCTTTCCCTCCCACTCTCTAGGTTCCAGGCTCAGGGCACCCTCTCTGTCCACGAACATACAAGTAGCCTTTCTGCCCTATGATCCTTGCACAGCTGTATTCTGTAACATGTTGTCTCCAGTTGATGATAATAATTATAATATTCAAGGACTGCCCTAAATATTCTACATCTATTTATTCTTATGTAGCCAACACTCTGAGGTAGGTATTATTACCTTAGATGAAGCTAATTAAGTGGCAGAGCTGGGATTTGACTCCAGCACCTGAAATATTAACTAGGGTGTTATTCAGCTAGTCACATGCCATTGCCTCTCACAGACCTACATAGGCTGACTCCTCTGGCTTATTCAGTCTCAGCTCAAACAGTGACCCCTAAGGGAGGCCTTCCATGGACTGCCCTCCTATCCCTCCTCCTTCATTGCCAGTTTCAGCACTCTCCAGCATACTACCTTCTCTTCTTTTCTACATAGCATTATAAACTATCTGAAATCGATTTGCTAATCTTCGTTTATTTGTTTATTTTTTACATTCCCTCATTAGAATTAAGCTTCCAGAGAGAAGGGACCTTGTCTATCCCATTACCTCATGTGTTTTTATACCTTGAACAGTGCTAGGCCCATAAAGAGAACCTAATTAATATTTGCTGAGTGAATAAATATTCAGCCAGTGTACAGTTCACACTTAATTAGCATTTCATCAAGGATTTCAACAAAGATTTTTTAAAAATAATAAAAAACATACAATCTCTAAAAGCATATTGTGGCTAAAAAGAAACCATCTAGAGTTAAATTCCTGAAGCAGTCTGTTAAAAGTGGGTGTTGAACCACCTCCAATAGTCACAAAGGAAAGATGGTAAAACAGTAAGATTTGTGTCCTCACAATATTCACATTTAGTAATTCTTTATAGGTCTATTCTGCAGTGAGTTGTGTAAATCTTTCCTTAACATATTTACATTTTGGCTTACACATCTTATTAATACCTCCACACTTTTTTGTAGTATATGTCTGTAGAAAAGCTACACTATCCCTCTTCACTTTAGTAACTTTAGTTACTTTTGTCATTTTACTTCTTTCATGAGATAGAGAAACCAGAACAAAACTTCAGGTGCAGAAGAACCACAACTTTGTGCAATAATGCTCAAAACTCTGTTGGCCTCTGGACTAGGTAAGCACATTTTCGATTTAAGACAGAGATTCTCAATTGTGTACCAGGACAGACTCTTCAAAAAAGTGCTTCAAATTTTAATCTATGTGTAAAATGTATTTTTGCTTCAGGTAAATATTAACATTGTTATTGTTTATATAGCTTTCTTCAGAGGAGGATACACTTCTATGGATATGAGTCAAACAACATGGTGCAATATCAGATAAATTCCAAAGAAAGACTGTGTTTATTATTGTTTTGTGAGTTTATAAAAGAATGAGATTAGGGAGGTAAACAGTTCTATTAGTGTCTTGATGCTAAACATCAACCATAAAACAGTGTAACCCCTTGGATACTTACAGGCACTATGAATATTGCTATACATAGTTATACTGTAATTATTACAGATTTGTTTGGTGTCTTTTTGAGTCTTTTAATACCTTCAGACATGCCACCAAATTTTCTAGTAATCAAAAGTGTGCCATGAGCACAGAAAAGCCAGAGATCACTGCCATAGGGAAGAATCTGTAAGTGTTCAAAACACTTTTTCTGGGTCATGACAGCTCAGAACTAATCATAAAATAAAATATTGTTTTCTTTTTTAGGCGAGGCAACCCTTGGTTAACCTCACAGATTGCAAGGACCTTGTCAGCTTACAATCCCTTATTTTTTAAAAATTTTTTATGCCTACACCACCTGGTCTTCCTAGGTGGTCTCCCATCCAAGTACTATCTGGGCCCGACCCTGCTTAGCTTCTGAAATCAGATGGGATCAGGCTTGTTCAGGGCGGCATGACCATAAACAAAATTTTGTTTTCTAACTTCATTATTATATATATTCCCTGCACCAAAGCTCATTTAATACTTTTTTCCCACTGGGTAAGATTTTTCTGTATTTAAGCCCAATTTGCTTAGCATTTCAGACTAGGAGTTTTACACGCATAAGAAAATATAATAATTTATTGCACTAAGGTAGTGATCGATTTCTTTACAATTTATTAGGGAACTTCTCCTCAGATCTACAGGAGAAAAAAAGCATTTGAAACTACACAAGAGACAAACATAAATAGAGGTAATCTGGGCATTGAGAAATTGCTGTCCATCACTATGTGCCAATTTTCTTCCACCTTGCTCAAACAGCTATGTACAATCTTGCCAATCAAGGATGTTAAAGACTAAAAATGCTTAATTTAGTCTTGACTGCCACTAAGATTAAATCCACTGGCTTATAGAAGGAAAACTGAAAGCAAGGAAAAAGGAAAGGGAAGAGGAAAGAAAGCTAGGAGGAGAATAAAGAGAATAGAATGAGAAGGAAAAAGGCTTCTCTCTCTATTTCTATGCTACCGCCACAGCTACCATTTGAAGTAGAGCAAGTAACTATTATGTGTCCAGGACTATAATATTCACTCTGGGAGACAGAAAACAAGACAAGACTCTTCTCCTCAAGAATTCACAATTTGGTTAGGGAGATAATCTCCATGAATCAGTTGAGGGTGTTAAATTGTGAGGTCCTGCTGGAAAAGGAATTTAGAAAAGGAAGAAATTAGTGTGAACAGAATAGGCAAAGAGACTTTCATGAAATATTTGAACATAAGTGGGCCTTGAGAATGAGTAGGGCTCAAAAAGCAGAGGGAAGACATTTAGAGAGAGAAACAAAGAGGTAAAGCTCTGAAAATCTATAAAAAGATCAATAAGACAGGGAGAATTTAGTTGGCAAAAAAAAAAAAAAAAAAAAATTTAGAATTATGCCATGTCTTCCAAAGGCCACAAACAGAAAGGATTCAGAATCAGTTAAAATAAGTAATAAAATATGGTATTTATATAAGCAGAGATTCTTAATGTTAACATGTTAGGGAATAGAATCGGTTCTACTCAATGCTTTTTTTTTCAATGCCTCTAAGTAGTTGTAAAAACCTCATAATAAAGAATTGCTGAAGTTTATTAAAAACACACTGAAAGAGCTCACTATGAGTTACTTTGCTAGTAACATAAACTATGGCCTCAACTCAGATAAACATTTTTAAATATAATATACATACACTGCACATTTCTATATGTGTTCTTACCTCAGGTTCCTTGGGATTTGTGTAAAGCTGTTTAAGGAAAAATAAGCAGCATTTAATTTCTGAAACGGAAGATCATTCCTCACAGAATGTATGTTCTAGGTAAAGAATTCAGTTTGTGCTATATTCATTGAGTACTGAGAATTATATATATATATATATATACACACACACACACACACATATATATGTGTGTGTGTATATATACAGATATATCTTAAGATATGTAGTTCAAACTAGAGATAGAATAAGCTCTTATTCTATAAACACAGAGTCTTTAGAATAGTCTGTGAATACTGACTATAAGGAAATTGATAAACAGATATTTATGATTATTGTGACTGAGTTACAAATTCTAAATAATTTTTCGTGGTTTAAAATTTCTTAAATAAATCATATATCTGAAACTCTCAATAGCATCTCCTCATTTTCTTTCTATTCTTACCTACATTCACCATGCTATACTCAGAAGTATACAAAACTTCAAAAAAGTCTACAAAACTTCAAAAATAAAAATTTCAAGTTTATAAAGTAACTCAGATAAAATCCTGATAGCCAATAGATGAAGCAGATAGTATATCGTATATATTTTCCCATGCATTGTAATATACCAAAGATATATATATTTTGTGATCTTTTATAAAAACTTCTAATTCTTTATTTCAAAATGTCGTAAGACAGATAAAGGAATTCAAGAGGGCAGAGGGAGAGTACTGCTTTAATGTTTTACTCATCAAACGACAACAAAGTATAGACAGAGTCTTGGTCCTTCAATATTTACTTACTGTAAGTACTGCCATATGTAGCTTCAAGAGAAAAGAAAACTATTGTTATTATATATTACATACTTGCACCTAAGTTATTTTCATTAAAGGCTAATTAAAACGGAATTTCAGAGAGGTTGCAAAAATTTGGGTAGGGAAAAAAATATATTATTCAGAAGACCAGAAAAAGGGATACTAATTATCCATTCATTCAAGTGAGTGCCTATTACATACCCAGGGTTCTGCTGGGGAGGGAGGGATACAAAAAAAGAAAATAACTATCCTTACTCTCTATAAGTTTTATTCTAGTTTGGGAGGCAAAAGATATACAAAATAATTTATTATTACTAAAAATTAAATATGCTACAAGTATTTCAAAAAATTGTGCCTTTTGAAACTAATCTACTAAAGTAAAAAATGTAAAGTCTGATATAAATCTATAAAATCTGTGCCTTCCCTACATCTATCTGTTACTAGAAACAGATTCTCCCCGAAAAGTAATAGAATATATAGATATAGAGATAGAGACATAATAAAGCCTATGATAAATCTTAAAAAACTAGAATGCAAATGAGAAAATTTCAGGACCATAATTTCATATCAAATTATTCACCTATTTCGCCAAAAGGACTAAAACTTTAGTGACACTGTGTGGCTATTTTGATTACTGCATACAATTGATTTAAGACTACTTAGTGAAGCTCTATTTTATATTATTTAATTAAAAGTCATTTCATTCAAAAATAGTCATGGCCCCTGTTCTCAGGGAACATGCAGACCAGCAGAGAAGAAAACAATAAACAAAAAAATTACATAAATATGTGTTAAGTGCTATGAAGAAGCAGTACAGGGTGCTTTAAAACATTAAACAGAGGGACAATCTAGGCTGGGGAGGAGGGCTATCAGGGAAGGCCTCCCTGAGGAAGTAAATATTTAGGCTGAGACCTAAAGGATAAATTGCAGTTAGCCAGGTAAAAGGTGTTGGGTAGAGAAAAAAATTTTCCAGGCAAAAAAGAACACTATATACAAAGGTAAAAGGCACTTTACATGCTCTAGAATCCTTATGCGGCTTGAACATGGTGAGCAACGGTGAGAATGATGCTTTGGAAAGGCAGATGGAGACTAGATCATACAGGCCTTGTAGATCATGTGATGGATTCTGAACTTTATTTTTAAAGCCATGGAATATTTTTAGGCTAAAGAATGACATGGTCAGACTCAAGTTTCTAAAAGAATGTAGTGTGAACAGTGGGTTGGAATGGTAGGAGATTGAGAATGGGAATAAGGAGACAATTAGGCTATATAGCCACCCTTAAGACAGTACATAGTCTTGTTAACTATCCTGTAATCCAGTCCCCACCTTGTTATTTCTTCCTTACGCTTCCTCCTTAATCTTGAAAGCATAAAAGAAACTGCAAAACTGTTATTCTTCTAAGCATTTTAGATTTTGCTTCCTGGAAACTATCATTGGTTTATCTGAAATAAACTCTGATAAAATTTTTCTGTGGGTTTAGATGGTCTTATATCAACAAGTGGCAAAACTGGGATTCACTTAAGACTGTCTGATTCCAAAATTTGAGCTCGTAACTACACTGTACTGCTCCTCAATGATGGACACTCAGGAAGTGTTGCTAAATGAATAGATGAAGGAGAATGAATGAGCACTGTTCAGTATGCTGGTGATGACTTTCTCCCCCTTCTCAACCTGTCCAAATACTAAGGGCCTTCAAAGCTCAAAAGCCATTTTCTCTCTCTCAAAGATCTCTTTCTTGCCCCTAACTAGATATAACCCTTCCTTTTCCATACTTCCATTGTATACAATCAGTATTTTTTCTTTGACATGCATTACTTTCTATTGGGCATTATGGTTCCTTATACTTGTGATAGAGGTGATAGTCAAAATATAATGTAAAAAAAATCAATATTTAACAGCCCAATAAGGCACAGGTATTGACTAATCAGAAAGGATGTAAACTTAGCCAAGAAGCCCTCCTGGGGCCAGGTTGTTAACCCTTTAGTTGCTAGATTGTGGAATTGTCTGGGGAGATCCCAAAAGAGACAATGGTGGGGTAATGGGAAGGACATTGTGGGGTCATTTGGGGTCTCAGAGAAGCAGCTATTTACCATATCAATAGAGTATTTCAATATTTTAACAACAGATACAGGTGGGCCAATGTGTAACAGCTGATTATCAGCCATGCCTGTGAATATCATATATCTTCTGTCATGGTCTATAAGCTCTTTGAGTGCACAATCTTATATCTGTTCTATTTTTGTATCCCTCACTCCCCCAGGTCAGTGTTGAATAAATCATAAATAATAATTGTATCTCTCACTCCCCCAGGTCAGTGTTGAATAAATCATAAATAATAATTGTTCAGTGAAAAAGGAAATGTATGTGTACAACTAAATAATCTAATGTAAGGCTTATTTACCTGAAGATTTCTTAAAGGAATAGAAATTGAAAAGAAGTAAAAAGAAAATACAGATGGAGAAAGGGGGGAAGCAGTGACAAAAAGTTCATTTATATATATCTTATCTCTTCAACTAGGACTAGAGCCTCTAAGTTTTACACCCTTCATAGCTGTCTTGGGCAGTGAGAAAGATCTGATGCACTTAAAATTCAAGCTGCATTTCTAAAAAATTTGAGCCACAATACTAGCTATTTTAGGGGAACAGGTTATATACATGCACCATAGTTAACAAAGTAACCAGCACAGAATAAAAACAGATGATTCAAGATCAATTTTTCCTTTTATATCTGCCACTATTTTGACCATATTCAATGGACTGAATGCCAGATTCTTGTCTCCTCTTTCCCACATCCTGTGGATATCTCCCAGTGACTTCAGAGGAAATTCTGTGGTCAAAAAGATATGAGTATGTAAAAGAAAAAATGAGGGTTTCATTTCTAATTAATGTAAATGAAACATCAATGAGACAACAAAGACATAAAAAGAAAACTGGTCCATGAATGCAAATGTAGGCACTGGTATATCCTTAAAACACAACAACAAAATAAAGGCTAAACTATTTTTTTAAGAGATAAAAGATTAGTCTTTGATTCTAGTGTAAATTTTAAAACATTCTTACGTATTTCTTTTCCAAAGCGTCAAAACAACCTTGAATCCTGTCAAGAAATAAATGTTTGATGTCAACTAGATGCAAAGCCAAAACGAATTCCAAGTACAGAATTAATTTATGTTTTTTGTTTTGAAGTACATTGAATTGATAATCATTTACCTTTCCCATTTAATTAATTTTTTAAACTTCAAATATCGTTTAACATGTTGATAGAACTTTATAAATAATAGATAAGCAATTTTGAGGTAAAGAATTACCTTTTCTTTTCGGCTCCCATAATGTTTAGGACATTAACATGCACATGAGTAATCAGGTTTTGATTGATATTTTTCTTCCTTTATACAAGTTCATTTACTTCAAAAACAAAACTAAATCAGTACCTTAAAATAATATTGAATAATGGCTACAAATTTCTACGAAATTATTAAAAGAAAGAAAGAAAGTTTTAAGGAAATGTTACCAAATAAAGTATTATGGGTAATTTCAGCCACGAAATTATGGGTAATTTCAACTTTTATAAAATTTCAATTACTTACCATTTGATAATATGCAGTGACCCAGGACATTTTTTATCTTCTCGGAGGATTTTTAAACTGAGGTCTACAAAAATAGAAACATAGTCTATTTTCATCTACTAAATGACTGTGTACTAAAATTATCCATGCTAAATAACGGTATTCCTTTAACTATTTTCTTTATATAACTTAGTTTTATAGCTTATAAAAGCATTTTGAATCTCTAAATACCACCTTTAAAAATCCTACATTGATAATTAGCTTAGTTCCTATTTTGATTACAGTTTTGCAGTCTCTCCTTATACAGTGTAGTGAAGGGAAGCAGAATATGCTATCTCAGAATGTGCAACTTTAGCATATGGATTATCTGGTTCACAGCAACCAAGACCCAGCTGACTCAAGGAAAACTTTTACCTCTCCTTTAACTGACTAAAAAATTTAGATGTGGAGTATGGCCCAAAAAGAGAGCTATTACCAGAGATAACTTTTTATCTAAAAGACTTAACTGCACAAGGCAAACATCTGATTACCAAACACCTGTGTCTCTTATCTTCCTGTGAATTGCCCTCTTCCCCTTTGAATCCCCCAGGCCCTTATCCCATTCCTTAGCTCAGGATGGCATAAAAGCCTGAATTGCCTGAATGCCTTTGGCTTCAATTGTATGGGTCTCCTGTATGCGCAAAGTTAAATTTATTTTTCTTTCGTTAATGTTTCATGTCAACTTAATTACTAGAAAAACCCAAAGAACCTAAAAGGAAAAATTTTCCTTCCCAACAGTAGCACAGTGACTTGGTTGCAAAATCAATTTGTGTCATTTCTTTGCTTTTGTTGAATTCTAGGTAATCATAAGGTAGTATTGAGACCATCACCATTTAACCAATTTAAAACATACACCTCAATCTCAAGTCACTTCTCTGATATTTCTCTTCTTCTCAGTAAAAAACAAAAATAAAAATTTTTACATGAATTATTCTTAAATATTAATTTCCATCTGAAATTCAACTACCTTACTGTAGTTAGGTTTGGACGATAAAGAGGCTCTGTAATAAATCTGAAAAGTCAAGTGACCAAAAGTAACCTCACAGGGTGATCTGATCATAAATTCCTAACTAGGCAGGTTATAGTAGGTAGTTTCCCCTCAGGCATATAACTGCGTTAGTAAAAGGTTTATTTTTACCTTAAGCCAAGCCTTGTCCATTGTTCTTGCGCATTTAGGTTAACACACCTTTGAAATGCCAGAGTAATCCTCTTTTTCAGACCCCTAGGAGGCCTAACCATCCTCAAGAGTAGTTAATTATCCTGTAATCCAATCATAGAGATTTCCCTGCCTGGCTTTCTCCCACCTTCACGTAATCTTCCTTATGTTTCCTCCGTAATTTCAAATGTATAAAAGAAACTGCAAAACTGTTATTCTCTGGAACATTTGAGATCTTGTTTCCCAGCATGTTGTCAGTTTGGCTCAGATAAACTCAATAATTCTCTACAGGTTTGGATGTTCTTATGTTGACATAGGGAAGAATAGAAAATCATATTAAAAGAGCTTGAGTTTTGATCAGTCCAAAATCAATCACTGATTCATGTACGACTTTGCACAAGTCACTTCACCTTTACATTTTCTCTTATCCTAAAATTGATGTCATCTCTACTTATATTGAAGGATATTAAAAGTATTCTATATTGGTATAACATTTAGAGACTACAAAAAAGAGTGACATAGGAGTATTGAGTATTTTTAAGTACTAACATTGAGTGGGAGACATATAACTTCCATTAAAAGTGTCACAAAAAATAAAGCTATAGGAATGGCATTACCCACCATGCCTAGGGTAGCAATTGGCACACAATAAGTGTTTAATTATGTTAAAGAAAAACCACGCCCAAAATGGCATCAATGTGTTAAAAGCCCATGATACAAACCCAGATTTAATACCTGATTTTACTGCAGTTTCAAACTCTCTCGGAAATGTAATGTTAATCAACCAGTATGAAATCCTCTGGTCAAGCACCAGTGATCTGCCACTGCAGGCCCTCTCCATCCCCCAACAGAAAGAAGAGGCAATGATAAAAACCTTTCCCATTCTCTTATCCCAAAGAAAATATGTCCTGGCCCAAAAGTAACCCATTCTTTTCTTTGTTAATAGTTTCCTTGTTCAACCCTTCTTCTTATAAAAAGCTTCCATTTTGTACAACCTTTCAGAGTGCCCTTCTGGTTGCTAGATGGAATGTTGCCCAATTCATGAATTACTTAATAAAGCCAATTAGATCTTCAAATTTACTAGGTTGAATTTTGTATTTTAATAATTAACTACCCAAAGCATGTCTTTTTCCAATTCTATGTTCTAAAAAAAAGGAGAAACTGAAACTATGTGCTATATATAAACACATTCACTATTACAGATTTATATCCAATAAACCAAAAAAGGACATAATACAAATGAGGTTGTCATAATTGCAAATATCAAGTTTTTGTGTTTAAAGCCTACATGCATTTCACTGATGTTCATGTAGAGTCAAATGTTGTTTAAGAAAATTAAATTGGAATGAGGCCAAGGTACATCATTAAATATAGATGTGAGAAATTTAAAGTAAAGTTAAATTTTAAAAAATAACTTCTTACAAGGAAACTTGTAGCTCTCTATATTTTCCAAATGGTAGTTTCCAGTTTAGTGACAATTCAGCAAGAGTTTCTGAATTATTATTATAATCCACATTTTTAAACAAATAATAAGATTTTGAAAAACTGAAGAGTCCTAGGTACATTTTTTTTTTAATACAAGAGGAGGAAAGGAACCAGAAACAGCTTGTAATATAAGGAAATGAGATCATAAGTTTATGGACATAAGAAACAAAAGGAAGGAAATTAGAAGACCTGGCAATTACGAAAAGACTTGAGCTGATAATAGAATAATAATTGTCTAAATATCCATGCTAATCAACAAATGAGTTTGGCATGAGTATTCATTCTTTCCCAGCATATTTGCATATGTGTGTTAATATGTTTCACCTAGCTCCATTAAACTTCCTCAATGCCAAAGTATAATTCAAAGAACAAATTCAATTGAGATGCAAAATAGCACAAATCTACAGCACCCAAACAGATTTTGATCTGGCTGCTGCTTTTATACTTATAGTTTAGAAATACTGGGCTTGTTTACACAGATTTCTTTTCTCCTCAGTCTGTCATTTGATATCTAGCCAGGAACTAATGGTTCCTATAAGTAAAACCACTAAACGTGATGAAATCAAAATGGAAAATGAATTAGCAAATTGATCTTGAAGAACAGGCCCATGACTTTGAATGAGCATGCTCTGTGAGAGATTAAAGGTTTACTCTTGCCAAATACAGAAAAGGGCTACAACAGCCAAAGTAACCATTTAGTTAAACTTTACCATCCAAATGGCGTTCTCCATAAGAGCTCTCTGGAAACAGGCCCCTTAAATATGTTATGCATGAGATAGAAGTAGCGAAAAGTTTCTTCACCATTATCAGTGACTCATGCTCATTAGTAATTTGGGATGGGAAAACTGTTTCCTGGGAAAAAAACAAAGATGAAAACGATTAGTATTCTTTAATATAGTCAGTCCATCATGCCATTACCACAGACATGATGGAAAGATTTCTCAGGACTTCAAATCTGATACCTTTATAGGTAATCAAAAGGAAACAGGCTTTGAATATTGCTTAAATTAGGTTTCCACAGGTAAGGCAGAAAAGAAAGTTAGTTACCCAAGTAATTCAAGACTAATACAACTTATTTCAAAATAATCTATGGATCTGAGGCAAAACTGGAGTTTTACTATAATTATATAATCTCCTTTCCTTTACACACTTCTCAGAACCAACTGCAATCTGTCTTTTACCTCATCCATTCTATACTATCATCTCCAAAGCACATCCTATCATTGACCTCTTCTTGGTCCTAGTGCTATGTAACTTCTCTGCAGTGCTTGACACTTGGCTACACTCTCCCTCCTCTCTCTCAGCTACCATAATACTATTTTATTTTGGTTTTTCACCTATCCCTCCATATCTATCTCAATCTCTTTTATTTTTTCCAGTTTTTCTGCCTTTTAAATGTTGGTCTCAGCCCAGGATTCTGCCTTCAGTCTTTCTCTCTTTTCATAGCTTTTTTTTCTTGGATAATCTCATCTAGTCTCACTGCTTCAGCCACAGCCTATACAGAGACTTTGAGTACTCATTTCTGTTCTGAGCCCCACTTCCACATTTTTATTTTCTGGACATCTACACCTAGACCATTCTGTAGACCCTCAAACTCAGTTTATCTCTATTACTTATGACCAAAATCTGATCCCAAATTTCATCTCAGACAAATGAATTGGCATCACTCCAATCATTTAGGGTAGAAGTAGAGTCATCTTTGCTTTCTCTCTCTCTTTCATACCCATATCCAATCACTCACTTCTATGAATTCTCTCTAAAGAGTTCTCAAATCTGTTTTCTCCTTCTCCTTCTCACTGCCACTGTCTGGGCTCAGGACATATTCACTTCCCCCCTTTATTACTGCAATAGCCCTTGATCTCCCTGCCAACAGTTCCTTTCATTCAACCTATTCTTCATATTGCCATCAGTAATTTTAAAGAATACAAATCTTATCACAACACTTCCAATGTTCATACAGGATAGAGTCCAAGTACCTTAGTGGAGCATTTGAAAACTATCTAAATGTTATCCTTGCCTAGCTCTCCTGTCTCATTTCCCACCCCCTCCTCTCTACCCTTACTCCCTTATTCTCTCCTATGCACCCTACCCTCTAGCCACGTGAAAATACCATTCATCTACTGTTCTGCTTCTATGTATTTCCATACCTTTGTGCTTTGCTTAAGCTAGAGTTCTGCATAACATTGAGGTTCTGTAAGATGTTAGTGTTCCATAAAAAATATCAATGCTAATAATAGTTTCTTCTAAAGTTTATGTATGTATGTATCTATGTGTGTGTGACATATTAAACAATTTATACTGTTGTTCTCAAAAGACTGGACAGTTTTCCTTAAGAAATAGTGTGCCACATTAAGAATGTCATAAGAGTGACAGATATATGAATTTTACTTCAGTATGTAAGAAGTGTCTACCAACTAACAGTCATTTTGCATACAGAGTATTTGCTGATAGTTTGTTTTATATCTTGAGTTATTATTTCAACATGTTTGTCATATCATTTAATGTTTTTTGTGTACATATATTAACATAAAAATGAAAATATGATCTTTTTGTCAATTAATTAGTAAGGAGATTGCTTTTTGCTGTCTTTTTTAATCTAAACACAAAATGTGTCTCATGAACTCCAGCTGGTGTTGTGTCAATAGATTATAATTTTAAAGTATTTTCCAAATATTAATAAATTAAACTATATTAAACTTAAGAACTTCTGTTCAGTAATACACTATTAAGAGCAAAGAATCAACTCAAGAGTAGGAGAAGATAGTTTAATACATATCTGCCAAAAGACTCATATCCAGGATTTATAAAGAACACCTAAAATTCACTAAGAAAAAGACAATGGAAAAGGAAAATGGGCAAAAGAATTGAACAGACCCTTCATGAAAGAGAATATCCAAATGGCCAATAAACAATGAAAAAGTACTCAAACTTCATCAGGGAAGTCCATATTAAAATCACAGTGAGGTAACACTACACACCCACCAAAATAGCTAAAACTTAAAAATTAAAAAATACCAGATGTTGACAAGGATATATAGGAGTGTAAATGAGTACAACTTCTTTGGAAAATTGCTTAGTGGTCATCTACTAAAGCTAAATACACACATATCCTATGACCCATATTCCACTCATTCGATAAATATGCATACATATGTTCACCAAAAGAACATTCATAATAGCATTATTCATAATAGTCCCAAACTGGAAACTACCCAAATGTCCATCAGCAAGAGAATGGATAAACAAATTATGGTATATTCCCACAATGGAATACTATTCAAGCAATGAGAATGAATGATCTACAACTATACTTAACAATATAGATGACTCTCACACATAAAGCTGAACAACAACAAAAACAGATACAAATAAGTACTACTGTATGATTTGATTTAATTAAAGTACAAAAGAAAGTGAAACTAATCTATGCTGTTAGAAGTCACGATGGTAGGTCTTTGATTACCTTATTGAAATTCAGGGGTCTTTTACTCTACTGCACTGTTTCAACTGTTGAAGTTTTAATAATTCCGCTACTTAAATATGACTTTAGATGAAAGAGAACTCCTCAAAAGCATTTTTATATCTAGATCTCATTCTAGAATGTCTTTGGGACATTCTAGACATAATTTTGCTATATAAGCTTGCTTCTTCTTTAGTATACTATGTAGTGGCAATGAATTATCAGTTCACCTTTTTGTCAAACCAGATTATATTCAGTTGTTAAAAAGGTATATGATAAAATTACTACTCTTACATGTATGCTAGGAACTTTGGCCGGGGGCGGGGGGGCGCGGTGGGGGAGATTAATATGGATCTTAAAAACCAAGCAAAGAAATTTATGTTTTAATCTACAATCAATGGAAAGTCAGTAGGTTTGATCAGGTGAGAGAGTAAAACAATTGCTTTAAGAATATTACACAGAAGTAGGAAAGATTGAAGCTGAAGGAATTAGGTGTGTATGTAGTGTGCATGTGTGTGTGTATGTGTAAAATTTTAGAGAAAATTGCTCTTTGATTTTTGTACCCATAAATCTTGAGAAATTAAGGTTCTTTTCAGTAATTGGTTAATAGCTGGCATGGCATACATATATAGTAACTTATTGAAAATATGCCAAAACTTAGAGGCAATACTTGAGTAATAATCATTCGTAAGATTAAATAACCTGAAAGTATAAAGACATTTACTTTAAATATAGAATCTAAAAGCCCATTTGTAGTCATGAATACCAATGATTAGAAAAGCCTCTAGAGTTCTGTTACTTCTCTAGACTCCAGGGATTTTTTTCTCAGCTCAACTGGTCTAATACTTTAAGGACTATTATTGTTGTTTTTATAAATGTCTAATACATGAAACTACTATGGCTTGATAATAAAAAACACTATGAAAAATTATTTTAATAAGATAGTGTGCTAATGGCATGAGATGTTTGACAGCTTAGCTGTCAAGTTATGTGACCTAAGGCAAGTTACTTTACTTCTCTGGGCTTCAGTTTCCTCCTTATTGCAAGGTTTAATTGAAATAATAATATAAAGCCCTGACACAGTGCCCAGCACATGGTAAGAGCTGAATAAATGTTAGCTTCTATAGTTATTATTATTGTTAAGTATTAAATAGCAAAATCGTACAGTCACTTAATATTTACTGGGAGAAGTAGCTCATGCAGTCTAAACTGCAAAGATTTGTTTATATCAAAAGTTCGATTTGTTAACTTACAGTGAAAAATAACTACCAAGCTGATTACAATTCATATACCCAGATCAGCATTTCCACTTCCAGGAAAGAAGCACACTTAGAAAACTAAATGAGATCAAGAGCCTGCTTAGTGAGTATACTGAATTCGAGCCAGAAAGATGACTGCTTTCTCTCTGCCCAAATTCTCCTCAGCCTCAATCTTTCAAACTTCTGCTATAGCTTAATATTCCTTAAACAATAATTTTATTCACTCTCCTAATAAAACTTGCTGACTTCCATTGATTGCAGAATAAAGCATAAATTTCTTAGCCTGGCTTTTATGATCCATGTTATTTTGTCCTCAAAGTTCCTATTCAACTTTATTTCCTGCTTCTGTTCAACCAGATGACACTCCATGCCACTAAAATTGGGTTCTTTGTTATTTTCTGAAACATGCAATGCTTATTTCTTATTCTGAGCCAAGGCATATGCTAGGTTTTTTTCATGGAATTCTCTCTCCTCTATCCAAACCATTTTCATTTTTCAAGGTCCACTTTAAGTCCCATCTCCTTCATGAGAAATATACCAACCATTTCAGTCTACAGAAAATCTCTAAATTCCTATAATTTGTATTGCTTTACTCTTTTTCAAATATATGTAATGTATATATATGACTTTGTATGTTGACTTAACTCTTGCAAATCTTAATTTAACCAGATGATAAATTTGTGGAAGATGAAGATTCTTTTTTTATTCTTTCAGAGGATAACACAGTATTACATACATATTATGTAATATTGATCTTTCAATGAATAAATAAATGATTCATTAATGAATGTCATGGGACAAGATAAACTGGAGCAGGTAAATCCAGCAAGGTTGCCTAGCCTTGGCACATTCCCCCAGGGTCACAGCATCCAAGTTTTTCTCAGTGCTCTCTCCGTTGGTTCTTATAATTACATCATGTTGTACATTATAAGTTTCCTAATTGCTTTGGGAAGTGAATGTCTAACAAAGAACCATTCTCTTTAAACATCTTTTTTTTTTTTATTCATTTTACCCTAGAAAATATAAATATAGAAATATGAAACAAGCATCCAGTAAGTTATTTTGTAGGGATCTATTCTAATTTTCTGAACATCTTCAGTCCATTAGGCAGTTAAAATGTAGACATACTCTGTCAGAATATTATGTGCCAATTAACTGATAAAACTGCTATTTTAAAAAAACACCAAAGATTGAAGTCATGATTCTGAACTAACTACATAGTCATTGATTTTCTTTAATTCTAAATAAATACCTTAGATGCCTTATGAATTCTGATGGCATGAGAGAGTTGAGCAGTGGCCATTATAGCAATATTCAGGATTCTTTAACAAGTCTAACCTGTAAAAAAAAAATTTAATTAGAGATCTGCCTAACATAATTCTTATTGTGAATTTTCCAAAGAAAAACTATATATTAGCCTCTGACTATATTCTTTGGTAAATTAGTTTAATAAACATTTTTATCTCCACTAACAATTTTCTATAAATTTGGCATAAAGTCTCTATATTAGTTTTTCCAACCACCCAATTAAAATTTAAGTTGACTACTTGTTCCCAAATACATTTGGAGAAAAAAATAAATTGAAAATCACCTAATGATTCAGTGATATGTTTTACTCATCCTTGTTATTCCCTCAGATTATAACAGTGCTTTATATGTAGCAGCAGCTCAAAAATATTTCTTGAATTAACTTCACGTTAATTGATTTTCAAAGTCAACTCAAAAGTTAATATTTATACTTTACACCTATTAGGATGGCTATTCAAAAAAAAAAAAGGGAAAATAACAAGCATTGGAGAGGATGTAGAGAAATTGGAACCCTGTACACTGCTGGTGGGAATGTAAAATGGTGCAGCTGCTGTGAAAACAGTATGGCAGTTCCTCAGAAAGTTAAACAATACTATATTATCCAGTAATTTCACTTCTAGGTATATACCCAAAAGTATTGAAAGCAAGGATTCAAACAGATTCTGTACATCAATGATCACAGCAGTACTATTTACAATAGCCAAAAAGTGGAAACAACCTAAATGCCCTTGAGCAGTTGAATGGATTTTTTAAATGTGGTATATATAATGGAAAATTATTCAGCTTTAAAAAGGAATGAAATTCTGATACATGCTGCAACATGAATAAAATTATGCTATGTGAAATAAGCCAGACACAAAAGGAAGAATACTACATGATTCCACTTATGAGGAAAATAGTCAAATTCATAGAGACAGAAAGTAAAATAAAGGTTACTAGGGGCTAAAGGGTGGAAAGAATAGGGAGTTAAATAGGTACATAGTTCTATTCAGCATAATGAAAATTTTCTAGAAATGTATAGTAGTAATGGTTGCACAACACTGTGAATGACCTTAGTGCCACTGAATTATACACTTGAGAATGGTAAATTTTATGTCATGTACATTTTGCTATAATAAAAAAATATTAATGTTTAAAATAGTTTTCCTTTCCATTGCTTCGCTAATATTAAAAAAAAAAAAAAGCGAATTTCTTTTTTTTTTCAAAGGCCTTAATTTAATTTAAATCGTGGCTTCTTTTCAAGGTTTTATAGAGTTACCAAAATATTTGTAAAATAATCCATTTAAAGACCTTCCATTCTGGATCACCCAGGATAGCCGGTGACCTATGTGTGGTCTAGATAAATGCAAGATTATGGAAGATTTTGTAAATAAAAGAGGGCAGAATTATTTGAGGCCACAAGGTGGTGACAGAGATTATACACAGTTAATATTCGACTTCTCTCAAATTACTTCTTCAGAGCAGCACTAGGGGACACTCTTTTACAATATTTTATATGAGACTGAAAACCACCCAATATTCCTTTGGTCCTTAAAGATTCTAAGGTATCTTTTATTGACTTCAGAGTATAATCTTCATTCCCAAGTATAACCTTCAAATCTAACTCAACACATCAATTGTCTCCCTTACAATTTCAAGAAATAAAATGGAAAAAAAAACTACAAGAGTTTAATTCAAGCTCTAGTCCTGGGTCCTTGAAACATGGTAAATTACCTCCTACTGGGGTAATTATTAGTCTTAGAGACAAAAATAAGAGGAATAATGATTTTTAAATAGCTTTCTATATGTTTTTTTAAATTTTCTGTAATCATAAGACATTTTGATGGTATTTGTAGAGAATCAAGCCTTAATTGCTTCAGAAAGTAAATTAGAACATAATGCATTATGACATCCATATTTTTGGAATGTAGAGATAACCTGGATTGAATTGATATTATCACTGAAATCTCTAGATATCAAGGGCACTTGCTTTTTGAGAAAGATTTTAAAATTAGTCACTATTAGTATTTGTTAAATGCTGAGGAATTAACATTTACAAAGTAAGTAAAGTTAAATTTTATACAGAGGAAAATAATAAGCAGTATAATCGCTTAGAAAGAGGCTTTGGAGTTAAAAAAAAAAACAAACCTGGTTTCAAATTCCGCTCAACAACCTAGTAACTTTATGACTTGGTCAAATTAATCTCTTTGTGCCTCAGTTTACTTTTTGTAAAACAGAGACATTAAATCCAACTTTTCAGACTCTCGCAGTGTTTAGCCAGGCATGTGTTTATCTGGAAAGGTAACATAACATAGTGGTTAAAAGCACATGGACTCTTCTGGAGCCAAACTACCTAGGATCAAATCTCAGTCTGCAGTTCACTCACATCTTGGGCAAGTTGTGTGCCTCAGTTTCCTTATCTGTAAAATAAGGATAGTAATAGTACCTACTTCACAAGGTTGTTGTCAGGACTAAATGAGTCATTATTTTTAAGACACTTGGAACACTGTCTGACACTCATTTCATTATATGTAACAAAGCACGTTTATTTTTAAAAATCTTATAATTATTAGTAATCAAACTCCTGGTTTTCTTCTAGTCTCCCAGTTGTTCCTTTTCATTGTCTTCTTCAGACTTTTTCCCTGCCCATGTTTAGCTTTTGGTGTTCTTCAGGGTTCTGTCCTAAGAGCCCTTCTTTTTTACTTCTAAATATATTCCTTGAATGTACATTCTTATTGTTTCAATTACTATTTCTATTCTAATGATTCTTATATGTATACCCCAAGCCCAGGTCTCTCTGGGGAGTTGCAGAGAGACTTTATACCTCTGTCGATAACACAGTTCCACTTTGATGTTCCCAACACATCCAAATGTGAATTCTTTTTCCTCAAACCTATTTCTGTTCCCTAGCTTAGTGTACATCATCAAAACCTAGTTGCTCAGGCCTGAAAACTGTGACTGAATCCTGTCCCCTCGCCACCACCATCACCATTCCCATATCTGGTCTCCTGAATATTTCTTAAATGTCCACCCCTCACTTTATCCACATTGTCATCTCTGCTTTAGAGCGGATCAGCCTCTTATTTTGCCTAGACTGCTACAAGCACCAGTCTGCTTGTCACTGGTCTTACCTTTCTCCAGTCTGTTCTCTGTATTACAGTCAGAGTTTTCTTTTTAAATTATAAACTTAATTATGTAACTGAAATACTTCAATGGCTCCCCATTGCTTTCAGAATAAAATCCAAACTCCTTACCATGATTTCAAGATCTGGCTCATGCCTCCTTAACCACATCTCTAATTATTTTCTTTGACACTTTTATGCATCAGCCATTCTTATCTACTTTAATTACCCTAAAATAGTATATTCTCTCCAGCTTTCAGGCTTTCTTAATATTCCTTCTACCTGAAACATCCTCCTCTGTTCCCATTTCCTACTTATCTCCTAGATTTGGCTTGGTATCATTTTCTCAAGTAATTATTTCCTAATTTGCCGCTACCACCAAGACTGGATTATAAACCCATTGTAATATATACTATCTCATGGTTCCATTTATGCATCCACCCCATCCTGTAGTGGGTTAATGTGAGGGCAAAGTTGTGTCTATCTAGCTCATTATTTATTTTTTAAAGTTAAAAAAAAAGCTTTTAAAATTAAAAAAAAAAAAACAATTCAATGGGTTTTAGTATATTCACAAAGTTTGACAACCATTACTACTAATTCCAGAAGATTTTCGTTACTCCAAAAAGAAATCTCATGCCCATTAGCCATCACTCCTCATTCTCTGCCCACTTGATCCCTTACAACCACTAATCTACTTTTACCTCTCTGGATTTGCCTATTCTATACATTCTATGTGGATGGAATCATATAATATGTGACCTTTTCTGCCTTGTTTAGCTCATTCTTGAATCTTCAGCACTATCACAGCACTAGAACAAAGGATCTAGATGCTCAATAAATATTTGCTAAGTCAACAGAGAAGTACTACGGGAATAAGGAAGAATTAAGGGTCTAGAAAAGAATTACAGAATTTTAGAGGTAGAAAGAACTTTAAATGTCATCTAGACTAAACATCTAATTCTCTAGATAAGGAAATCAAGGTCCAGAGAAGTCAACTGACTTACCCAGGATCAATCAACCACTTAGTGGCAGAACTGAGAATAAAACTCAAGATATTTTGACTCCTAATTTAAGGATTTTCCTAAAATGACTCCCCAAAATGAAATTCCCTTTTGCTTTCATTTCATCTAAAATGATGTATTACCATTTTACTAGTTTTACTAGTTTGAGATTGCTAGCTTATTTTTAAACATAGTAATGTCTCCTCCTGGGATTTTAAAATGAGCTTCCTTCACGAAGGCAAAAAAAGATCTAAATAATTTTTTAAATAGCCAAACTCCTCCCTCTAACTTTTACTAGTTTGAGATTGCTAGCTTATTTTTAAACATAGTAGTGACTCTTTCTGGAATTCTAGAATGAGCTTGCTTCAGGAAGGCAAAAAAAATCTAAGTAATTTTTTAAATAGCCAAACTTTTCCCTCTAACTATTCTCTTCCTACTGTTATTTGCCCTCTGAGCAGGTGTTTTGTGGAGGTCTCCTATTCAAGTACAAACTGCTTAATTTTGAAAGCTTACAAGTTGACAGCCCAAGAAGGTATGACTCTACAGATGATGAACTCTTGGATAATAACTATATATTTTTTATCACCTTGTTCTGATGAATTATTTAAAAACCTAGGAGATACTTCATAACTATGGGTTTTAAGAACAGAACTCTAACTTTCCAATGTCTTTCACTGATATATTTGCTTGCATGTTGCATCCACAACCATCTGAAATTTCACAAGGCATCAATACTACTCACTCTTATGCTTTATATGTCCACTGTGTGACAAAGATTATGATCTTGAGAAAGAGACAAGATTTCTTATGGTTTCTCAGATAAAGACTCGCTCTGGACTTACCTCTTGATTTACATCTCAACTGCCCTAATAAAAATGGTGGCACAATTACTT